GTCATCATTTACCCAGAATGCTTTTGTGTGGAAATAAAATGGCTCCATCCGTGTTAAAATATATTTTTTAAAATTTAGTTTAAAATTCATAAAAACTGAACATGCTACAGTATTTTTAGTCTTTATTTTACAGTTAAAATAAATGTTTATTAAATAAAGTCTAATGTTACAACTAATCAGGGATCCCTTTAAGACTTAACATTCCTGAAGGTAGCAGTTCAGCTTCCAGCTTTTTCTGCCAGAGGTTTACATTAAGAGCGGGGGGAGGACAGTGATTCTTTCTTAAGTTTCTTTAAAAGAGAGAGAGAGAGAGAGAGAACAACAACTGTCTATCAAATTTTAATCAAAGATGTTTTAGCATTGTGTAGGTGGTGATGCTCAGCTGCTATCACATTAAATTTGAACTCAATATCTGTAAAATTGAGTTTGTCATTTTGCGTTGACTAAATTATATATATATTTTAAAGTTTATTTGGAATTAGTTTGGTGGTTCATGAGATATTTTGCTTACAGGCAGATAAGGTTGACTCTAACAGGGAACAGTTTTCTGCAGTGGGTAAAGCCCCGTGTGTTGGGGATGATGCTRGACTTAACCCCAAAGGGTTTTAGTTGTCAATGCACGTCCAGTATTTACTTTGACAGTTCAATAAAGTCTGTCCAGCTGTGATACTCTGCAGACAAACATGAACTGCTGTAGGTTTGGTGGTCAGTGCCATAGTCCTGCAGGTTTGAGCCCAGGTTGCATCAGGAAGCCTATCTGGATCAAAACAGTTGRCAAACATCTTGTGCAAGTACACTCATTGTGGTGACCCCTGCAGAGGGGCAGCCAAAAGACTCACTGCCATTAGATGTGGGCTTCAAAATACTGTATCTATGTCCTCATTTAACTCATTCAAAACCAAACACATCAGTTCTTCATACATGTTGTGTTTGAGTCATTATTCCCTCTGATCTGTGCGCATGCATTACAAACATGAACCYTTATTGTTTTTTATCTTTTCTCACCAGAATGTCATAAATACTTTCACACAAACTGCTAAACATGTCCGCTGTAGTTTCTATGGCAATGTAACCGTTTGTAAAGATGTCAGTGTCAGCGAGCTGCAACAAGCGTACCACGCCGTTGTACTGGTGAGAACCCAAACACAAGCCTCCATACTCTATACCACATCATCACTTTGACTTTAATACTTTTCATTTTGTATAAACCAACAGAGTTATGGAGCAGAGGGAAACCGGCGTATGGGGGTACCAGGAGAAGACCTGGCTGGTGTGTACTCAGCCAAAGACTTTGTGGGCTGGTATAACGGGCTGCCCAGCTGTCAGGACGTAAGCTTGAAAACCTTTTTTTAAAGTCACATCAGCATTCTCCTGTCTTTTCCACTAACCTGTCTTTGTCCTGTACATGTTTGATTCAGCTCAGTCCAGAGCTGAGCTGTGAAACTGCAGTCATTCTGGGACAAGGCAACGTGGCCTTAGATGTGGCAAGAATCCTGCTGTGTCCTGTAGACGTGTTGAAGGTGAGGAGCACAAAGGATTTAAAGGGCCAATATTCAGTGTTTCTCAGGCATATATTTAAATACTATACCATAATAAAGTACCTGTCACCTTTAGCTGTTATTAAAATGATGTTTTTATGTTTAAATAGAAAATAAACTTA